ACTGATAGGACCCGCCATAAAATAGTATATCATCGTTTTTCACAAATCATGTGATTTATCTTGTGATGGAGTTACTATGTGAATGTATCATTTCTCACGCACACTGTGATTTAGTGTGTGAGATCAATTCGTCTTTTGTCTCACATTTCCAGCCAATAAGAACAGTCCATTCTCACAGTAGTGAACCAACTGTATTGTGATATATTAAATTAAACAGAGATCTATGGGAGCGAACCAACCAGGAACCATTTGTGAAACCAATAGGCAGGAAGAAATGGAGATGGATTGGCCGTCATACTCTGAGGGAACCATCAAGTGACATCACTAGACAAGCCATCGCTCGAGAGAACCCGAAAGGGAAGCGGCGAGTTGGTCGTCAGTGCAAGGGTGACATTGAGAGGATCATGTGAAGAGGAGATGAAAAAGTGTGGGCAGACATGGAGCCAGGTGAAGACTCTAGCAGAGAACCGAACGCAATGGAGACGCACGGCTGAAGCCCTATGTTGCTCTAGGAATTAAAGGAAACAATAATAATAATAATAAATATATATAAATATGACGTTTTGTTTCCTAATAGATGAACATAATACAACCAATATCTGACAGTCACACACCAGACAGCCTTTGTCTTTTGATATTTGTGTGGCTCAGTGTGAATCGGAAGGTACAACAAACAAATAGACGTATTAGCATATTAGTCGAGTTCATTACCGTTATGCTAATTAACAGGCGCAGGCATAACAAAGTAGCGAAGGTTTTTCATTCAGTTCACTTGAACCAATAATCATGTCTCCATTTCTGAAAAAATACGGAGAAACTCCTCTTGTTTGTTCTCAAACCTTCTTCAAAATCTTCCAATGATTTAGAGCAGTTTGCATATGAATGCAGTAGAACCATTTTAGATGCTGTCATCGTACTCTCCATCACAATCCTATTTCGAGCCCTTTTTAGACCACACTGTTGCATTTGACTCTATTCCCAAGGGCACTTTGTTTCCGCTATTTTGGATTGCATCATACTCAGGGACATAATTCCATCATGTATACCTACAAATTCTTACAACGTTTCAGTTTACCACCGGTGTATGTCTTACCATCCAACAGCAAACCATACCGTCATGACGTCCATATAGAAATGGCTAACTTCGTCCTAGAGTCTAAGGAAAATCACAGAGTAACGGGAAAAGACAGGAAATTTGATAACGCAATATTTACTTATAATTTGATATACACAAATATAAGGAGATTATGTATACCGCATTGATTCAAATCGTCATTTGCACAAATCTTCCGTATTCTGACACTTCTGCCCTTCCTTCGTATTGCCTTTCTTTGTTTTCTATTCGTTTCTCGCATGTTTTGGCACAATACTCGTTGCTCATTTCCTACCTCTATATATGACGTCAAATCTACCTCTCCGCTGTTTGTCTCTTTATTTATATACTACTGATAAAGCTTGTCAGTAGCACGTGCCACAACTGTACACAACACTAAGTTGGGGACATCTACTGCCTGACTGACAAACTCGTGCAGAATTCTAAAAGCTTAGCAGAAAATTGTGCGTTGTTCCAGAAAGACAATGATGAAAGTTTCGCAACACTGTGAACCACCATCCACAGCTCAGAGAACAAAACTACACCACTAAGTGTCACTTTATATTATGCAATATACTTGCAGGCGAAAACCAGCAACCTGGCCGAAGAATCAGTCGGCGAAGACAGAACATCAGGTGAAAGTAGAGAAGGCGGAGGTGATGAAGACAAACAACCAGCTGACGAACCGACCAACAGCAATAATTACCAGCACCAATCGCCATCAACGCAAAAGATTCAACAGAGGTTACTTCCTGCCTTCACTTATCACCCCAGGCAGTCGGAACGGATGAACATATCAAAACTATCCACGAAGAATCGGAAAGGCAAAATGTGCCTTCATCAACCTGAAACCAGTTTGAGAATCTTCTGTACTCGGTCTCACCATAAAGAGCAAGATTCTGATTTTCAACACAAATGTTTAGTCATTCAGTTAATTCTTCTACACGGATCAGAAACTTTCACTGCATGTGAGCCGTGAAAAGGATTTCCAACAGCCTGCTTATTTTTCCAGCTTCATTATGAAGATCAAATGACCGGCAGGCCAGGAGCAATAAGTAAAAAGAAATCCTGAGAGGTGACAAACCAAACAAGAGCCGATTGCTTAGCAAATATGTAGGCGAAAATATGTGGAGATGGATTGGGCATACGTTGAGGAGACCGTTGGTCGAAAGACATCGTGCACAATGCAGGCCATCGCTCGAGTGGAATCCCAATAGGAAGCGACGAGTGGGTCGTCGGTGCGAGGGTGACATAAAGCAGATGAGAGACTACGGGCAATCATGGAGTCAGCTAGAATGGACAGCAGAGAATAGAACAAAGTGGATATGTGTTGTCCACTCGGAACCCAAGAGAATAAATATAATATACTACAATGGCATATGCAACCGATAAGATTTTAAAGTAGTAGAAGACATGAAACAAAGACAAAGAAGCGCAATACGGAAAACATGCGCAAATTTTGATTTCAGTGTGTGGTAAACGAATTTTGCGTATATGTCTTACATCAAGCTGCCAATAAATAATTCCGTTGCCAAATACTCTTGTATTCTACCATTTCAACCATACCCAACTTAGCTCGTGTTCTATGCGATAAAGAAAGCATTAGGCATGATACTTATAACTTATAAAATAGTCAGTAGAACAACTGGATATCGTCTTTCCAACTCATATCACTAATAGGTACGTTTTCTTTCTTTCTCTTCCTTTTCTCTCTCTCTCTTTTTTCCGTTATGTGATGCTTTGTTTCTTTCTTCCGCCTACGCCAGTAAATATCACAGCACCTACTTTTCTAACACATTCAAACACTGTTCAGCTTTACCTTTGCTACCGGCATGCCAATATGTTGTTGTCATAATGAACTGAGATTTCCTTATCATACTTTGATGAAGCTATTAGCATTAAATAGCGAAACGTCAGTAAAAACAATATCGTTTTGTTTTTCATTCATTGGAAAATACAAAAATCTTTATTATAATGAGATTTCCTTAATCTGTGTAGAATTCTATTTATTGATAATGTACTAACTGGATGCAATACTGCAGTAAAAATGCCGAGAATTCCATTCTGTATCACAAGTACTGTTTTGGAATAAAGCAAATTATTATTATTTCTGCCTCAGGACAATGAAGATTCCATGGCCTGCAGCTTTCAAAAACGGAGATAATAAGAGCTCCTTGAATGACTTCAATGCTGTTGCTGGGTCGGTAGGCATTGCGGATTCAACAGAGAAGATAGTTGTCCTAAAGACGCCGCTGAAAGGTCACCAAAAGGCGATATACAACAGAGTGGAGCTACCAGATGGACAGGAGACCTGGAAGTTGTACATATCATCGATGTCACTTTTGTCCTCTGTATTGTGTTTCTATGTATCACTGTCTTTCTGGACAACATTCACATAGTGCCAACTATACAATTTGTAGCTGAACTTTGAGAATTCCCCGTGTGTTTATCAGTAACACCTCTACTGGAAATACTTTTACCGGGATTGGCTGTAGTAATATTGATTATTTCATTGACCTGAAAGATGACCTTTTCTCCATGTGACTCTTCTTTTTTATTGATTGATAAATTTAGCCTACGTCAATTTATCTATTGGTGACAGAGTCATGTGAATTACCCTTATCGTCTAACTATCTGTATCTATTGCCATCACTGGCTCCATATTAAGCATCAAATGGTCAGCCAAAAATACTCCACAACAAGAAACTATGGGAACCAACCAGCCAACCAAGAACCTCTTATTGTAGATGAGTAGCTAAAAAATCCCCATTGAGTCATATGAAAAAGAGAGGACGTTCAGCGAAGAGACTCTTTTCGACGGTGAATTCATTCACATAGCTGTACAACCGCATTTATATATCATTATTTTGTCTGTGTGTGTACATGAGGTTTGTCAAGTTTAGATAATTGATCAGGTAATACAAGAATGATCTAATATAGAAACAAGGTTAATTAGACAGCAACTAAAGTAAGATTGAGTTAGTAAGTTAGTTAGATGACGCAATATAATTGACTAAAATGACCTAAGTTGAAACATTTTAGTCAATCATATTACGTCATCTAACTTACTAACTCAACCTTACTTTAGTTGCTGTCTGATTAACCTTGTTTCTTTATTGGATCATTCTTGTATTACCTGATCAATTATCTAAACTTGGCAAACCTCATATAAACACACACACACACACAAATAATTATAAATAAATGCGATTGTAGTGCGTCGGTGGTATAGCGGTTAGGACGCTCACCGACCATGCACAGGGTCCGGGATTCGATCCCCGGGCACAGACGCACCCCTTTACCTCGCTAAGCCAGAAATAATGCTGGTGAAGAGGAAAGGTTGGGCATGAGGCTAGCAACCCCATCCTGTAAAAATAAAAACTGCTACAGAAACTTCAAGCCACTATCTTGAAGCCCTATGTTCCACTGGGGAACGTGAAGGAAAAAAAATGCGATTGTAAAGCTATGTGAACGAATTCACCGTCGAAAAGAGTTTCTTCGCTGAACGTCTTCTCTTTTTCATATTGTAGATGAAACGAAACATGGATTAGGCATGCGCCATTCAGGAGACTGTCGAATGACATCACACCATAACTCCAGTGGAACCTGAACTGGAAACGACGAGTATGACGTGCATTCGAGATTATAGGTAATCGTGGGGCCAGCTGAGAGTAGAAAAAACTGAAGATGTGCTCTTGAAGCCTAATATTCCATTGGGAACCCAAGCGAACAATAATGATAATATTATTATTCTGTATCTACATACTACTCATAAATCATATCAGTAGCTGAACTGTAAACACACAAAAAAACGCATCATAAGTAAGACATCGGAAAAAGACATTGAAAGTTGTTATTTCTCTGACTAAATAACACTTTATTATAACAGTTATTCAGCAATAATGCAATGTGCACTTCAATAGGAGTAATTGAAAAAAAGAGAGAAACAGCAACACAGATAAATGAGCAGAAATACTATTTTATTTTCTCCGCTATTACATCAATAAATAAATAAATAAGAGGGGTATTAGAGTGCGTATAAGACAGACATAGGGAGAGATAAGAGACTGATAGACGAAAGATACGAAGATAGATAGATAGATGTTTAACGAGAGTCTACCATTCAGAACCCCACCTAAATCCACTCGATGAGCACTCCTTCTCTGAAGACAAAAAAACATACACTAATGGATATATATATCTAAGATTATTTCTGAAAAAATAAAGTTTCTCTAATCAATCAATAAATAGACAAACTTTTACTTATTTCTATTATAAATTTTCTAAAAAAAACACGGAAACAAACAAGTAGTCAAATAGGCAGGTAGAAAAAGGGAGCGAGCTTTATTAGAAAATACACATGCACATACAGACGCACACGCACAGACATATATACTACTGAATACTACTACTTATATTGTCATTCTTCCAGTTGAAGCCTTCATAAATCTTTCCTTCATATAATCAACTCACATAATGGTAGTGTGTTAGGCAGTAGCAGTCGTCGGCGTCGTTGTCGACGTAGTAGTAATAGTGCTGTGTAGTGCAGTGCAGTGCAGTGTTCACAACCATAGACAGATAGATAGATAGAGCACAACCATTTGAAGTATTTCAAAGATTAGTAGTAGATGGGAAGTCCATAAATAGGCGCCTAGACAGATTCATAGATCCCCTATGTCTCTTTTCAATCGTAAATGATAGAGATGAGTAAATAGCACAGTAGAGAAGGAGCAGGAGTAGGAGAGAGATGTCAACAGGGGCGGGAGGGGAGGGCACATGATTGGTAAGACTGTAGAATTAAGTAGTGGATAAAATAAACAGATAAACGATACAATGGATGAGAGAATGTGGAAATAACTATGGAAAACTCCCCATCTTATAAATAATAGAACTAATAATAATAGTAGTGGAGAAGGAATGACTGAATACCTCCCATGATGAGAATGACGATAATTCCTATATGAGGATGATGGTGTTGATAAATAAATAAGTCGAATAAAGATTATTTTCATCCTGTCTCTCTCTCCCTCTCGCGCGGACACCCATCATTTGACACCTATTGCTATGTTGTTTCGAGTTCTTATCCCATACCAACTCCCAAACCCTTACATCCTTTATCTCTGCTCCTAAAACCCCCAACTTTCATCGAACCCTCTCTCTCCCTCTCACTCCTCTTCAACAGAACACTCTACTCAGATACATACAGAGAGAGAAAAAGAGAAGGAGGGCAAATGAATGAGAGATACAACAAAATGGAGTGAGGCAGGGTATGGGGCCGATGGGGCAAGTGAGGGAAATGCATTCCACTTGACATGATAAAGATAAATAATGATAATAGTAATAATAATAAGAAATTAAGTAACAATGAGACACACACGCAGAAATAGAGAATAGACACTTAATAATTTTTGCCTCTTTTTCGTGTATTATAGAGCTTTTAATACTTCTCTTATTTGTGTGTGCTTGTGTGTGCACGGATGTCTATGCCTCCGTGATTACAGATCTTTCGGTAGCATATAGGATATATCCTCCCATGGATGACGATACAGGCCTTGATGTAAACGTTTTTGATCCAAATAATGACCTGTAAAAAAAAAAAATAAATCAAATAGGGAAGAAATTGAAACAAAAAAGTTTTATTGTATGGCTTGTATTACTTACAAAATTTGTAAGTAGTATAAAGAATATTGATAAAAATTTGTATATCGTCTATATATATACATATATATGTATCGAGTTGCCATATACCAAAATACTCATATCCTCTGTGCTGGTACATTTTATATAGTAATGACATAGGCTGATATTTGTTTTGCTCTGGTAGACTGTTACTCATTCGTGTATTGATCAATGCCATAGTTGGATTCCAACCAACCCTATGGCTGGCGGCATTATAACCATCTGAGTTAACAGATCCCACTGCTCCCCAAGACACTGTGAACTGTTGGTATTAGACGGTTGGGGGGAAACCGGAAAGAGACCCTACCTGACCTAAATTTCGTGATAGCTGGCACTTACCATTCAGAAAGGCGTTTATGTGAAGCTTCGCAGGAACTCATGTCCCCTGTCTGAGATTCGAACCCGCGTCACCCAATGCTACCTGCAGTTAGAGACATTGCTACTGAGCTATTCGAGCTTGTGATTAATCTACTGTAAGAATGTAGCGTCCCAGACTGCAAGCAGCACTGGGTGACGCGGGTTCGAATCTCAGACAGGGGACATGAGCTCCTACAAGGCTGCAGATAAACGCCTTTCTGAAGGGTGAGTGCTAACTAGCACGAAACTAAGGTCAGGTAGGGCTTCCTCTTAGCGACTGCCTCCAATCATCTAATACCAATTATTATTGTTATTATTTCCAGTAGGTTCTGACTGGGACATAGGACCTCAGCAGTGCCACATCTCTATTTCACCCTGTCCTACGTCGTCCTCTACAACTGGCCCCACTGTTGTGCATAAGGTCACATCGCCGCCCCACACAATCTCCTCCATGTATCGCCCTTGGACCTACTCCTAACTCGTCGCTTACATCCTATTCAGGTTCCAATCAAACAATAGACTGGTGCATGATATCATCCAACAGTCGGTTTCCTCAGCATGTGCCAAGTCCATCTCCATTTCTTTCAACATAATTATTGACCAACAGGTTCTTGACTGGTTTCGTTTCAAGAATTTCGTTTTGCTTGTTCTTTCTAGTCGGCTATCTAATCTTCGGAGTATGAAGCAAGAGATATGGAGGCAGATGTTGATAAACATTCTCACCTCAATAAGATAAGAAATCTGGAGAGTAACTCAGCTATATAGCACTAAATGCAGTTAGACACAACTATAACAATAGGATGAAGTAATGATAACAATCTTCACACTTAATGTAACAAAGTGGAGACGGAGATCGATAAATGAAGCTTTATTTATCGAATCAACTTCGTCATCCAGTAGACACTAATACTGTTTTACTGTGTGATTTTTGAAGGGGAACAGGGTGTGGTGAGAGCTGAATGCGAAAAAGCCAAAATTGTAAACAACAATTTACGTCAATGTTCACGTCCTGAATCAGGATCATGAGAAAAACGATAACAAGGCTTAACCTTGAGAAAATCGTCAACCAATCACAGCGGTCTTAACGTGTGGAGATATGATTCGCAGATACATGGCTTAATTTTCTGAGAAACAGTCACAAAGCACTACAGGATAACCTTCAGCAAGAAAACAATCAATCAGAAGAAGTTTCTCTTCTCCACTGATAATAATGCACATGAAATTCTAAAAATATCACTTGATTTTCTCAATAAACAATCTGTTGCCTAGCCTTTGTCTTCATGTCGTTTCAAGGATTGAAGTTACAAATTACAAAATTTGTTTTTATTATAATAATAGCAATATATAGGTATTATAATAGCAGGCCCAAAAAAATTCGAACAGGCCGCCAAGGTCAACCAGCTTGTTAATATTGTGGTTGACAGACACATGGACTAATGTGAAAAATGGGCCACCACAATCTTCATTCACAACTCTCCCCTTGTATCTCATCAGGCAAAGCCAGAAGCCTATATAGAAAACTATATGCTCGCATCAGCAAGTACGAAAAATTCAACCATACCCTACTTGGCTCGTGTTCTGTGCGATAAAGAAAGCATTAGGCGTGACACCTTTAATTCATTAAATAGTCAGTAGAACAACTGGATCTCGTCTTTCCAACTCACATCATTTATTGGTACAACATTTTCTTTCTTTCTTTTCCTTTTCTCTCTCTATTTTTCCGTTATGTGTTTTGTTTCTTTTTTCGTCTACGCCAGTGAATATGATAGCACCTACTTCTCTAACAGCTTCAAACACTGTTCAACTTTGGCTTTGCTACCGACATGCCAATATGTTGTTGTCATAATGAACTGAGATTGATAATGTACTAATACAATAATATAATAATAATAATATATATATATATATATTATTAGTGTATGCGTATATTGATCGATTGATTTTTTGTTTAAAATGAACTTTGTGCAAGTATGTTAAAATAGTTTTTGTAGACATATTTGATAATGTCTTTGGCCTGTAAGCAGCTGACGAGAAGGCAATGAAATAAACAATGATGGTACCACCATTTTATTCTGCTAAAACTGTAGTTCTTGCTTGGTTCAATTAGTGATTGTTTAGCGCAACGGGTACCCGCGAATATCATCCGTGGCGAGCACTTTTGTCTTCACCTCCGACTGATCTGGCGGACTCCACTAATTGGTCACAACTCTTCTCACTAGAACTCACTCCAGGCAACTTCATCCTGCTGAATAACTTTCATAAGTTTGTTTGTAGGGGGATGGTTAACCCGGTCGGGAGTGAGGTCAAATACTGGAGCCTAAGATGATATTGGCTGGTGCCAGTCACGCTAGAATTCACAGGTTGATCATTGAGACGTCAGATCTCTGAGAATGATCTAACAAGCTTGCATTGTAACCAGAAGGTTCAGGGTTCGAACCCCTTGTGGTAGCTGGATGCATTCTATCAATAAGCCCCAAACCACGGAGGAGAGGGACAAAACATCAGATTCTCTAACTGATATCAATCCATACGTGATCTTGAAACTTCAAAACAGTTAGAATCATCAATAGAAACGACAACAACAAACAACCATAATCCGTGTGTATACAAAAGAAAAAAAACAACCAATTAAAACGTACCAATAAAACCGATTGATCGACCCAAGACAAATAAACCATTCAATGTACCAATATTGACATATTCATCAGCTTCCTCTCTATATATTGCGTAGAAAACAAAGATAAAATTTTTTTTAAAGTTTGTAGAGAAAAGAATTTAAGAAAAATTGATTGTTCGTAGAAGATAATAAAAAAATGACAAGAAAAATTTTCTCTTTGTTCCGTTTTTAGAACATGCTTGATTATACACATCTATGTGTAACTTTGAATACTGTCGCATAATAATTTATTCAGAACAAAAATATAGTTACGACAAAACCATCGAAAAAAAAGACCTAGTTTATCTGAAACGTATTAATGTGCATATATTTGCGGAACACATTTCGAATAATTCTGATCACACATACACGTACTTGAAATACGCTGACTGACTGTCTGCCTGGTATGTCTGAATTCAACATACAACTTGGCACCGAAGTGCAGCACTCCGAGTTGCCACGTTCCAAATACCACACAAAGGTGGTAGACAAGAAAATGAGTGAAGAGAATCAATAGAGTTTTGACAAGTATAAGAGTGAAAGATTACAGAGACTGATTACATCTGCGTAAGCCATTGACAACGATTTTGAGCCATGTCACCTATTGTCTCCAGCCATTGATTGATTCTTAGAGTCCCGAGGGTGGGCCCCAACCCGGAAGTCTGCATCTCCCTCCCTACCTGACTCAGTTTAACTGTCAAGGATTTCATGGATTGATGAGGCCATGTTTTTATTTGGCCACCACTTACTCTTTTCCAACCTGTACCCATATCAGCTAGTAATGCCCGTCCGTCGGCGAAGGCGATGGTTAGCCATGCGCAGCACATGACCTAGCCATCTCAATCTATGTAACATTATAGCCTCGTCGATTGATTTTCCCTCTTTGCCCAACACTCTACGCCTAACGTAAACATTACTTACCTTATTATACCACCTAATTTGAGAAAGAGATCGTAAACATCTATGATCAAAAACAGTCAACCTTTTCATGTCTTCAACTCGTATTGGCCATGTTTCAGAGCCATAGAGAAGGACGTCCCTTGGTTGATAGCCGGATGTCAAGCCAATCAATCCGTTGGTGCTGATACAACTTCCCAAATAGGTGAAGTGGTCAACATGTTCTATCACTTCACTCCCTATCACTAAGCTAGGAGTTGACGTAGTCCAGTCAGTCCTGTAGCAGCATCTTACATTTTACAGGGGCGAATCGCATGCCAAACATACGAAGATTGCTGCTCAAGGTGTTCAGAAGACTCTGTTGTATTTTGTCACCATTCTCCCCTAACAGGACTATGTCATCTGCATATTCTAAGTCCATAAGACTATTCCCTGGTAACAAGTCGATTTCTAAGTCGTTAAGTTCAGTCAAGGATACTTCTATTAGCATATCTATGATGAAGTTAAACAGAAATGGGGAAAGTGGACAGTAAGTTAGACAGGCAGTCAGTCCACAGTCCACGTGGGGGAAAAGTGGACAGACTGACTGACTAACTCACTGACTCGTTTCAACATAGAACTTTGCACATATGTACAGCAACAGTTCGAGTCGCCACACTCACTTCATGTAGCACACAAAGCAAGAGAAGAAGAAAGTAAAAAGAAATGCAAAATAGAGACAGTAAACAGAGATATGAGGCAAAAGGAATAGTAATAACGAAGAACAATATAGTTTTATTGAGTATTATAAGTCACAGAACGATTTTGAGCCATATCACCCACCAATTGTCTCCAGCCTTCATTGGCTTTAACCGTCCCGAGGACTCCAACCAGTCAGGTAGTCTACACCTTCCTATGTGGTTGGCTCAAACTAACCGTTGTAGATTTTCAAAACAATGGATACTGAACAAAGAGTACTCTTTTCGAAAACCTCTTCTTCACCAGGCTCTACAGTTATATACACATTATAGTGAATGAATGAATTAGTGTTATGAACGACATAAATGTTTAAATAATATCGTATCAACGATATTGATAGATTACAGCTCAATAGCATCAACATAAAATAAGCTGAATGTCAGAAGAATTATGAAAGATAATATTACAAATCCATTAATTTATAGTCTCTACTGAGGGCCAGGGCAGTAGTAGGGGTTGGACTTGTTTCTTTTGTACACAGAGCACTGGTTGTTTGAGGCGAATTGCAATAGCCTCTGCTGTTTGGAGCATGCGGTGCTTCGATGATTTACGTAATTTGTTAGGCACCCGGTAGATTATAGAGAAGGATTCTTCAGTGCTGGCTTTGTGACCGGTTTGCACCAGATGGTCTAATATCGAACTGTTAATAGTTTTCACTACACCTTTACTTAGTCATAGTGGGATATGTTCTCGAGCACAAAAAATCAAGTTCCTAGAGCAATGGCCAATATAACTCGCTCCACCACAAGCGCGGTTGAATTGATAGATACAATTGGAAGTGGCTAGTCTAGGTACTTCATATTTCAATCGAGGTAGCACCATCGGTCGTGTAGAGAATAAGATGTGTAGTTCGCTAGCATTAAAAGTTCTTTGAACTGATTTTCTTAATATCTTCGTAATTATCTCGCTTGGTACACAGCCCATGAATTGTAGTCGTGTATATAAAATGGCTTCTTGTTTACAGACAGTGAATAGTCCTTTTTCGCCGCTTTCTTTGTCATGTCTTTCTTGATAAATTTGTCGGGATAGCCATTTTCGATCAAAGTATCACACACAATGCTGAAGCATTCATCTTCAATTATTTCTTATTTATCACTCGCTCTTTTCCGACCTAATCCATCCTATGTCAGCTAACACTATTCGTCGTGGAGGAAGGCGATGGATAGCTAGGCATTCGTAACACACGTCCTAACCATCTCAGTCGATGTAACTTCACAGCCTCATACACACATATATAGAAGGCAAGAAGGCATGAATTATTACATTACAGGTCAGATTGTGTACAGGTTAAGGTCACATATAATGAGCGAGTAGGGGGATGATGCAAAGGTGTGAGTAAGTAAGGAAGAAAAGAGACAAAACATATAAGGGGTTGAAAATATTATGAAGTTAATAGATTTTTTTCCCTTCACGTTCTCCAGTGAAACATAGGGCTTTAACCTAGTGGCTTTAAGTTTCTGTAGCAGTGTCTGTTTTACAGGATGAAGTTGTTAGCGTCATGCCCAACCTTTCCTCTTCTCCAGCATTATTTCTCGCTTAGCGAGGTAAAGGAGTGCGTCGGCCGGGAATCAAACCCCGGACCATGTGCATGGTCGGCGAGCGTCCTGACCGTTATTGCCACCGATGCACCCAGTAAATTGATCCTGAATTCTAAATTGGATTACCAATACAGGTTTAAAGTAATAACAGGCAGGTTTAAGTCTTTCTATGGCCAAGGCTTCAACAAATTTAAGCATGTGACCCAACCTTGTTTTATATATATGGGAACGGACGAGGATGTCAAATCGAGAATCGAGAAGGCAAGAAACACATTCATCAACCTGAAACCAATCTGGAAATCTTCGTCACTCAGCATCAACAACAAAATGATTCGGATTTTCAATACAAACGTCAAGTCAGTCAGTTCTTCTATACGTACGGATCAGAAACTTGGCGGGTCACAAAGAATATTTGCAACAGCCTGTTGCAGACCTTTATCAACAACTGTCTTCTTCGCTCTATACTCAAGATCAGATGGCCACCGGAAAGAATCACCAACAACAAGAAACTATGTGAACGAACAAAACAAGAACTAACCGCCCAACAAATATGCAGGAGAAAGTGGAGATGGATTGAACACTCGCTGGGTGACATCGCGAGTCAGGTCATCGCTCGAGTGGAACCCGAAAGGGAAGCGGCGAGTGGGATGTCCAAGGGTGACATGCAGGAGATCGTGTGAAGAAGAGTTGGAACAGTATGGATTAACATGGATGCAGGTGAAAAATACAGCAGAAGTCAGAAGCAAGTGGAGACGTGCAGTTGAAGCCCTATGTTCCACTAGGAACCCAAGGGAACATTTATAATAAAGGCATTATTGAAATCAACCTTATAACCCTTGTGTGTATTAAGCCATCTTTAGTCATTTCTCCTTGACTCGTTGTGTGATTGAGTACTGGTTTAGTTAAGAAGAAGGAAATATTCTCTCAACTGCTCTATTAGGTCAACATTTTTAGAATGTCACCAGCTGTTATCTCCCCCACCTTTCTCTAGGGTATGAAGAAGATTTGCAGCTCAGATAGATAGATGAAAGTTCCCATCTTGATACTGCTGCTGCATCTAACATGATGAGAATTCAATGGATCTGGGAGTGATTACAGAGGGAGAGTGAGTGAGTGCATCTGCAAACCATCATTGAGAAAACGATTTTGACCCATATCATCACCACCAACAGTCTCTATCTCTCTCTCTCTCCCTAGTCATTATTATTATTATTGTTCCCTTGGGTTTCTAGTGGAACATAGGGCTTCAACTGCACGTCTCCACTTGTTTCTGACTTCTGCTGTATTTTTCACCTGCATCCATGTTAATCCATACTGTTCCAACTCTTCTTCACACGATCTCCTCCATGTCACCCTTGGACATCCCACTCGCCGCTTCCCTTTCGGGTTCCACTCGAGCGATGACCTGACTCGCGATGTCACCCAGCGAGTGTTCAATCCATCTCCACTTTCTCCTGCATATTTGTTGGGCGGTTAGTTCTTGTTTTGTTCGTTCACATAGTTTCTTGTTGTTGGTGATTCTTTCCGGTGGCCATCTGATCTTGAGTATAGAGCGAAGAAGACAGTTGTTGATAAAGGTCTGCAACAGGCTGTTGCAAATATTCTTTGTGACCCGCCAAGTTTCTGATCCGTACGTATAGAAGAACTGACTGACTTGACGTTTGTATTGAAAATCCGAATCATTTTGTTGTTGATGCTGAGTGACGAAGATTTCCAGATTGGTTTCAGGTTGATGAATGTGTTTCTCGCCTTCCCGATTCTCGATTTCACATCCTCGTCCGTCCGTTTCTTCTGTAGTTGAGACAATGCTTCCTAGATTAGTGAATGAAGTAACCTCTTTCAAACCGCTCCCATTGATGGTGATTGGCGCTGGATGTTGCTGATGCT